AAAAAAAAAAAAAAAAAAAACTATGAACTATTTCTTTTTTTGGTTTTGAATCATGAACTATGAACTGAACTAGTTCATTTTAAAATGTGTGAACTGAACTTTGAACTAGTTCACGTAGAAAGAGAACTTTCCCAACACTGGTTATTACCATACGGTGGACCATACGTCTTAATCAACAACAACAATGGTTAACAATATTGACTAGGAAAAAACTAATTATTACAAATCTTTTTTTCCCTTTACTTATAAGTTCTCTCTTATGCTGATTTTTGGTGATGTTTTACAAATCTCTGATTCGGTTTGAAATATATAACAAACCAAAATCATTGAAAAAAAAAAGTTTGTGTGGGTGTGTAAATGAAATGAGCTTGAGTTGTTCTTTAAGTTAATTTTTCTTAATTTTAAGTTTTTTTTTTAAGTTTAAAACTTTTAACTACTGCTATATTGAGAGCTTTAGGCACAAGATTATTTCTTGTAGCTATTCTCTTTGTTTCGAAGCTCATGACATATATCTGACTTGCTTTACTACAACCTTTTCTTGTCTTTCCCATTGAAAGAAACCAATAAGAGAAATTGGGCTCAGTTTAATGGATTCGTTATACGTCTAGCCTGATAAACCAGACTTAATGTGAGATTAAACGTGTAATTTAGTCTGGCCTCAATGAATGAGACATCGGAAGATTGTTGATGAGAACAACCTGTTATTTTTCCAAACCATATCTGTGCCTATTGGCCAACGCTCTGACCATGAGCGCAACTGACTGTGACATAGTAAGTGCGACAGAAAGCTGGTGGGGGAGTGTAAACAAACAGCCTGTCGGTAAAACAACAAAAACCCCAAGCCTAATCCTTCCAAAACTAAGTCAGACGAGAACTGTTCAATAGTTCAAAACCCCTGCTCGCTTTGCATCCAAAAACACATCTCTGCGTTGTGATTGGCCAGCCAGTTCTAGGGCATGGAGCATTGATCGAGGCTAGACCACTCGCAAGGAAAAATTATTTTGGCCGCTGGCGGGTGGGGCTAGTTTACAAGGCTATTATACCTCACCATAAAGAAACTATGGATAACTGGTTATAAGATGTTAAAATCAAAGACTTTCCATGCGGGAAAACTGACTAAAAAGTAGTTTTTTTGTTTTATATTCCAATGGGACATTCTGAACAGATAATCCACTTAATCTCAATCCCTTTTCCACAACTTGTCCAGGATTCCAATATTTATAAACACCAAACAAAATAGCATATTAAGATCCCAAACGCTGAGGTTGAGAGGTGTTTAGAAATGATTTACATTAAGTTTGTTCAACACGTAAACTCAGAGA